TCGTTGGAACAAAACGACTTCCGTGCTCAATGAGCCCTGTGTCAATAACACCAAAGTCTCCAAGTCTCGCTGGTTCCGACAGCGCTCACGGGCAGAGCCCAACTTCGTCTTCCACACGCGGGCCATGTCGGCTCGTGTCTCCGCGGCATCGAGGAATGTAGATCCTAGGCTCGATAAGTCCGAGCGTCGCGCTCCGCGCACGCTAACGGTGACTTCGTTGGGGATGTGGAGGTGGTCGACTACGAGTCTGACACTCCCTTTCCCGGATGGAATGACGAAGAAGGTGAGCCGTGCCAGCGCCGTGAGACGAGCCCTGCTTGCACCTTGCGGATCCCATGTCCGTTTCTTGACCTCTCATCACCTGAGGGACGTGGTGTAGTCACCAATGACCTCGATAAGGCACAGAAGCGGTAGCTGGAAGCTGCCCGTAAGGCGGCTCTGATGTGCGCCCATCCACGGTCGGTCATTGACCCTTGTGTGGAATATGGCTTCCGCCCGGCGGATCCCACTGTGGAAGCAAAGGACGCGGTAACTCAATCGTTACGCCTCCATATCATCGGGCCCCCGGCCATTACGGAAGATGAGCTTGCCGAGCGGAAAGCTCTTCGAGCTTGATTCTTGGTCCGACAAGAAATTCCTTTGGAAGGTTATCACACTCGTCTGCGTGCTCAACAAGGTGGCACTCGTGTACCCGCAATCTGAACGATACCTGTATTGCTCCCATTCAGGAATCGCTTGACAGAAACGTGATGACCCCCGCGCGGCAGCTTTTTCAAAGACGCGATGAATAGTAATAAAGTACATCAACAGTATTGAGCGGCTTTGACCAACTACAGCATAAGATAAATATAATGAGGTCGTTAGCTGTCTACCTGTTACTAATCGCTTGCGATTCTTGCAGAAAGTCATTACATAGTATGCGATGATATCAAACCGGTACTGCAAAGGGGTTGCCGTATACCTTGCACAAAATAGCTTTGACGTTAAGTGTATAGGATCACAAAGACACAAATTTAACGTTCAAACGCTCCGACGTAGTAACCAAGAGACTATAAAGTACTTAATTGCTCGTTTATTTTAAGGGCGTTGTATTATTTATCTGATACTTGATAGAAACCATGTTATTTTCACTATTAATCCCTGTTTATGGTTGACGTGACGCTGGAACAAGCTCTATAATATTGTGTACTTAATTCGTACGTTTTTGGAGCATCCAAAAATTAAAATTAATTTGGTACGATTGTCTAAACTTTAAATTACGCTATTGTGGAATCGTTAATTTTGATAAATGCCATCAAGGGTATCTGTGACGATAATACAATCTTAATTAGAGTGGCTAGCCGCACGTCGGACAAAAAGACAGTTTCTATCACAGTAATAACAAAAGAAATATTTAAGTAGTAATAAATCTATCTTGAAATGGCAGAGCTAACTAGACACCTACTTACGTGAGAGACTCTATATTCCGCTTCTGTAGGAACGCACCTACCTATTCACGAGGTGATGGTCAGACAGAGCTCAAAATTATCATGATGAACGTTTCCCTTCAAAGTCCTTGCGCAGAGAGACCTAGATGCTGTCACGAGTTGCTTTACTCATTTTGATAGATGATAGGCGGGCCAGACATGCCGATCAGGTGGCCGATAGCAATTGCGCCATCATTGAAATTAAAACGGTCATGCTGGATATTCACGAGATGCATGTTCGCCGATGCTACGTCCGAAAAGGATTCATTAATCTCGTGGTAGTCCACGTCACTCATCTGAAGGCTAGCGTGGTGCAGGATGTCACACCGACGTCCGTGTTGTGCGGTGATTATATTATTGCAAGAGCAAACATGGCGCGACACTTAAAGCAAACGTCCGCTTCGATAAATTGGCTTGGAAAGTCTTAGACGGGTGAGATGGTAGGATTTGCATATATAGCGCGCGAATTGAGTCTGATACTCATCGGTACTCCCGCCAGCTTCTAGTAAGCAAACTATATTATTCAAGGAGGGTACAGATTTCCAAAATTGCTGGGGCTCTTAGCGCATACGGTACTTCTGCTAAGTGATTGCTTGTGAGCTGAATATGCTTTTGCAGGGCTACCAACTTTTGCTCATTTTGCTCTTGACGTGAGTGGAAGGCGCGCTCCAAAGGCAATTGGTATTTGAGATCAACACTGCGAGCTAAATGAGACGGTGAGAAACATAATCCTGATGTGGTGATTTGTGCATGAATCGGCGAGAATTTTGCGCTTGTAGGAGGAAAAGCAGACTCCTTAAGCCAAATTTAGCTCCTTACTAATGGACATCGTCGTGAGTTTCCCGGCGGGTTATCGCAATACTTACCAGGTGGAAAGGGCACGAATTCTGTTTGTCCTGCTGGGGGGCAGATAGGCTGTGTATCGCCAAATGAGGGCAGAAGCCAAGGTTTTTATCGCCGAGATCTTTGACATCCTCAGTAAGAATTAATCTAACCGCGTCTGTCGTAAAGACCACGCCTTTTCTGGGCGCTCCCTGCTTTTATTGGTGCCAACTAAGCTTCCCGATCTATTTAATAATGTGATCGCTTCACATATAGCCACTAAATTTGGGTCTAACCATCTGTATTTGCACCGTGTGTTCTATCCCGTTCACCCGATTAAATGATGTAAATCACATTAGAGATTCGGTCTTCTTAAGAACACAGCAAGCATATGTATAGTATGCTTACGCAATAATAAAACACATCTATAAAAAAACCCACTTTAAATAAAACGATCATTTGTATTGTCTTACTAGCTTCGTTTGGGTCTTTTGATGACAATGTCACTACTCTCCTTTTCTTGACATGATACATCTTTGACCAAGATCTTTTCCATTTCACCTTTTGACTTCCCCATTTCTTGATATATTTTCAATGCTCGTTCTAACGATAACAAAGCACGCGTTAATACACTTTCAGTCTGACCTTTCGTTTCAATTTCTTGAAATAGAAATGACGTAAGCCAAAGCGTCAATCCACCTTCTTGACGATCCCATTCTTTCGCGTGGTTACTAGTTACAACATTTAACAGTAACTTCACCTTACTTTGTATCTCCATTTCATGTGTTAAAACAACGTAAACGAGATTACGATCATGTAACGATGCAGCAAGCCATTGAATCAAAAACTTTAATTCACGATCCCCTTTAAATACACCACATCCCCAATTTCCTGTACCCACTGGCCATGAGCAAGTTTCGTCAGTTTTATAACTAAATCCAGCAAATGCTTTTACAAGATCGCGCCATACATGAGCACGAGAATATTGACGTTCGACTTGTGTCATACTATAATCAGTAGCATCCATTCCAACGACAATATTATTGCGACGAAAAGAATTATTGGACAATATTGTACGATCAGTCTTATCTTGATAATTACCGGTATATTGAAATGTACCACCGTAACCTTTGTACGTACAAAAACGTTCAGTACCATGAACAACAAATGTTTCATATGATTCAAGCTTGGAGAAGACAAGACATGATACAAGTAATTCCGGTGAGATTAAAAAACGAATTTCTTCTTGTACACAACCAGAATCCAATACACCACCACCAGGAAATTCATTTGCAAAATCAATTTGCATGTGTTCGTTCAGATCTTCAATCAATTTGTCCGATACACACATTGCTGTACTCAATGGTGGGTACATGGCCATTTCTTTTGTCGTGGGATATAACATTTCAAGGATCTTTGAAGGTGTATAAGACGTGGGTATACACTTTGGTACATGTACCGCTACACGTACAAAATCAATTATTTCTGTCGTCAAAACTGTCTCGTCTGGTTTTGCATGTGGTACCATACGAAAGAAATATTGCAAGAAACACCGAATTTTATGCCCTTTTAACACCATCATTCTGCTAGTTGATGCTGAAAACATTTGAATAGCAGAAAATGATGGAAATTGAACATTTTGAACGTCGTGAATGTCATTGCGCTGAGATACTTGAGTGAATTTACCAACTGTACCAATTTTTTGGTTCGGAAAGATGCCAAAAAAACAGGCACAAACGAGTGTCAACACTTGAAGTTTTGTAAAACGATGCATTTGAGTTGCTGGATATGATGCAACAGTTGCATTGTGAGATGCAACTTTGTGGTATGGTGTTAATAGTGGCGGTGGAATTGCAAACATTTGTGGCATTTGCAACACCAATTGTTGCATCATTGGCAACACATCATGAAACCACTTGTTCTTTTCCTCTAATGTTAGCAACTAATAATTTCTTAGCAACTTTAATAACATAATATACAATAAATATTTTTCCCACCTGCTTCAATGCGTACTCGAGACTATTAAATGGCTGTCGTGAATTCAAGATTGTCATTCTGGTACAGTAACATAGTTAGCATGGACAATAATTCTTTATAAGATACAAGACAACAATGTTCAAGTACCGTACAATCGCAACTTGGCAATAAAGTCGGGAATATTTGCAATTGGTTGTGCCAAAATTGACGCAACATAAGGCCATACTGCCACTTCACCTCGGAATAAAAATTGTGGAGAACTTGGCAAAAGAACTTTCGGGTTTGAGTCGTCCAATTTCTTATCGTCGTACATTTCACGTGGATACTGAAGCCACAACGTACTTGGTCGTACAGGTGGCTGAAAGTAAATGTGACTTGTAGGACGCAACAATCGCTTCAGTCGGAGCGATTCGAGTAACCAAAAGCGTGTTACGAGGCGCTTCGGCACGTTGGCAAGTGTTGCACCAGGTTTACAATCGGTCCAGTAGCTTGTAATTACATACACAAATGTTGGATTATCTTTTGCATCGTACAATTTACCATGGTGACTCTGAAGTAACAATGCCAATTTATGGCACTCAGATGGCGGTAAACAGTGGAAGGCGAAAGTCACGCCTTGGAGTAGAAATTCGCGCGACATTTTGCACAATAATTGACTGATTCATACGATTTGCTTCATTAAATACATGTTGCTTGAACGTCTTCCCAGAAAATTGTTCTTTCTTATGTGGTCCACGTACTCATATAAAAATCAAATTAAAGAAAATGTCTTTAATGTGTTAGCATCGTCGAGAAAACTCAATGCACAGCATCCAAACAAATTCAATTTACTAACAGATTATGATGCTCGAGAAAGGCAATAGATGGTGGAATGAAGATTCTTTGACTTGATAGTAGAGTTTCGAGTATTCCTAGAAAGAGAGGTCATAAATATGGATTTTGATCCTTAATACTATATTTTTGCAAGTGATGACTATTATTCTACTTGATGTACAGATATATGCAGAGGCATTGAAGATGTTATATACTGATAACTTATGCATTGGGGATATTTGTAAAAGCGTCAAAGATTAAGTAAGAAAGGATGAGGTATTTAAAAGTCCGATAACTGGGCACAAAGTAAGGATGACATAAATGAATGATAGTGTTTGACTTTTGTATCTAATATCTTCAATATACAGCACAGTACATGTATTACCTTACACTTTACATGCCGTGAAAATTTGAGTGTACTCAAACCAACCATTTTCGGTAGAATCTCGAGACATGCTGGTTGGTCAAAACCTCAAATTTGAAGAAGTCCACGAGGAGGCAAAGACAGGAAAGGTCTTTCAGTTGCTAACTGGTCTGTTGAAACGAATGGGAAGCCTGAAGGCGCCACAAGGTCAGAACAGATTGGATCTGTTTAAGTCAACGCTGGTAACGGAAAGGCACGGAGGATACAACCCTTGAATGAATTGTTGACCAAAAGTAAGTCTCCAACAATACCACTTGCGACTAATTTCGAGATGAAACATCAGTCGGATCATGGGTGGTATGTTGCGCGGTGCTAGCAACGCCTTCAAGTAAATCCCGCCCAGATACGCTTGTTGAGGCTTCTGCCGCAACTGCTTCCGGAAGCTGATGTTCCACTCCTTTTACGAGCTCTGCATCTTTAACTGTAGGAAGACCCATTTGTAGAATTGGGAAGATCTCGCTTTTATTCCCGTCATCGATCATAGCTTTCGAATATTCTTGACCTTTCATCCGTTCTTCGTGTATGGAAGTCGAGTTTGCCTTGGAAGCGCGAATAGAGTGTAAGTCATCGCGAACATATACATATGTTGCAATGCCGACAAAGAGGGATAGCGCGACAATGAAAACTTTGTAAAACAAGTGACCGATAGACATTGATTGAATGATGTGCGTGTTTACAGAGATATTTGCAGCGTATGAGGGAACAAAATGAACCGTCGTTGGTCGGGAAAATGGAAGATAGAAGAGTGTGAGCTTGACACTAGCTGAATCAACGAATGCTGGTCTGGCGGCAGAAGCCTCAACAAGCGTATTTGAGCGGGATTTACCTGAAGGCGTTGCTAGCACCGACGGAATTGGGATTTCAGGTGAGGCGGCAATCACTTCTGAAATTGGTGATTTGCAGAAATACGAAAACGATATTGAACAACGTCCAGCACTTCGATCAGCACTAGAGAAACGCATTATTAAACGATTCAGGTTACAGGATTCTGATGTCGAGGCGATCAGAAGTGAACAAATATCCCTGCTTGAGTTGGCAAAAAGATTTAATGTTGACACGAATAGCATATATTCGAAAATTCGAAGGTTTGCCGCGATATATGCTTTGAAGTATCTCGACGCAAACCAGAAACTTATAGAAGACGATGTGAAAGCATATGCCTTAGCGCGCAGGCTTAGTGACCCCAATCATCCTGACAAATCTGTTTTCGACAATTTTTATCTTTTTATGTACCGCGATAAGTACATGAAGGGAAATGGTGCAATGTTGAAAGGACTAACAGCAGAGGAAAAAGAAGATAAGATAATGAAAGCCGCGGTTGAGGCGCTGGTAAAGAGAATGAATGAGAGTGTTGTGAGAGAGCGCATTAAGAACAGAAAAAAAGCGGGAGAGCATCTCAGAAGACAGAAGAAGAACGAATGAAACAGGCACTTTTTGTAGCAGGATAGCGTAACGAAGAAAGCACCTCTTTTACTTTTGTGACTATAACATTTCAGTTGTATCTTTATTTTTTTATATCCTTGTTTATGATGATAGATTACGTTGTTCTTGATAAGGACCCCAATCTTACAGATTGGCACTTGTGGTCTTTAATACATTGTCAGAATAGCAATAATTTCTTCTAATGCAGCATAAAAAGAGAAGTCAATAGAAATCAGAGCCTACAACTGTTGTGTCATTGTTAAAATTACACCGCTGAATGCATGTGGATGATTACGGATGCTGATTACGGAC